TTCATTTGCCCTTTTTAAAGTTATAGGCCTTTGAAGCTGTGTTAATAATCGGCTATCGGTATTGCCCAAGAAAATCTTTATTGGTGCACCCCTCTATTAGACTTCTTCATACACTAAATTATTGCATAATCTTTGTGTTTAATCTGAATACACTGATTCTAAGGTGGTGGTCTCTGTTTTAAGAACCTATGTAGATTATTGGATATAATTTGCTGTGCAAGTGATTGCTTAAATGTCTTGGCAAAGAAAAATCATACTGATGTTCTGTACCACTTGAGAGAGTTGACATTTAGCTTTCACTTTTTGTTTGACAAACATAATAGATCGCTGTTATTTGGCTTTTTGCCTCTTGTAATCTGGTAAACCTGTGTGAAAGGAGTAGGGAATGGGAAATGTTCTACAATTCAGTTTTAGGTTAATCTGAGCATCCGGATCCATTTTCTTCCAGTTCCGATTGTCCCTCCTTTTAATCCAAGTACCTGTAAATCTGCCTCTCATTAGTTACCATTAAGCTGGTATGACACCAAACAGAAATATAAAATCTTTTTAAGCATCATTCATTATAGTAGTGCTGTCCAGCTGGTGGCCCATGGGCCCTCATGCATCCCATGGTGAAGTTCCAGAGGTTAAGTTTCAGCCCCTTTGCTCCTGGCCAGATGTTGTAGCTACTCCCCCTCCCCATTACTCCAGCTGCAATACAAGCTGGAGTCTTGAGGTTATCCTTTCCTCATTGCACTGCAGCGGGGGAGGAGGGGGTGTCCTTGCATGGGCATGCCATGCAGCAGGCAGGTGGGGAGACCATCTGTGTGGCCTGTGCCTCACCTTATGCATGTAGCCTGTGTAGTTTGTGGCTCTGTGGGGCTTTGAAGTTGGACAGCCCTGAATTACAGAATAGGTAAATCAATTAATTTTGTTTCTTCCTATCCCCTCCAATCTCTCCTCCCCCCTCCCTTCCCCCCCCCCCAAAGTTTAAGAAGGAAGACCTTTTTATTCACAGTTCAAGTTTGTAGCAAGCTTGAGTTAGATTAAGGGTTTTTTAAAAAACATGTAGTGATGAACATGCACAGCAGTTGCATCTGATCAGCCCCTTCTAAAAGGTAAATT